TTTTTTTAAAATGTCACTTATATTATAGTATCATTAAAAATAAAATTCTTTTGCTTTATCTATTATAGAGGTAGTTGTGTTATACAACAAGTTCAAATTACGCAATAACTCGAGAACCATATATTTAAGTTAGAATATATTTTAGTCAGATGTGATGACATAGATGTAGTAAACTTAATGAAAAAAATCTTCTATAGTATTAAAGAGTAAGATATATGGAGACTTGCATCACTTCATGTTGGATAAAGCAACTTGAGGTGATGCAATCATAGTTTGTCAACACATACCACTAGCTTACAAAACCACTATTGAGAGGTCATTTCTTGTTCTCTTAAATGATGATTAGAAATGTTAGAATTTGTATTTTAGGAATTCATTAGAACTCATGACTTTATGAAAACATTATCATATGATCATATGCTCATTTAATTGACAAAAAGAAGCATTAGCAATATGAAGAGTTAGAAGAGCTTTGATGCGACTATTTCATCTTATAATGTCTTTACTTTTTAGTGCTTACTTTTAGCTTATTGTTCTGAGTCGGTAGCAACCCCATTTTCTATAATAAAGCAGAGTAAAAGATAAGAATATCTTATCGTTAAAATGATATGTGAGCAAGAAGTAAATATTATTAAGAATCATAAAAATTATTATATATATATATATATATATATATTTATATATATGATCATAAATTTACTACAAAAATTTGGACTATTATTTTCTTAAGAAAATATTTATAGAACCTAAGTACATTATGTGAATGAATCAACCACTTGAAGTCTAATATTTTAGAAAAAAAAAATTTATTGTCTTTCATTAGTAAGAGCAAAGAAAAAAATATATCTATTAAAACATTAATTATCACTTTAATCCTATCATTAAATTATTTATTTAGGGAGATAATATATTTTTTGAATATTTATAAGACCTTACTAATAACTAACTAAACAAAAATTGTGATAACAACATCAACCATTTGTAAAAATAAAATGAAAGAGAGAGAGAGAGAGAGAGAGAGAGAGAGAGAAGGGCAAAGAATCACAAGAATCAAGAATATTGAATAAGAGATCTAATGAGTTTCGATAATATGTCTACGCTCTTGGGAGCAATGAGCAACAAATTTCTTTTTTCTTTATATTTTTCTTTTTCTGAAGCGATTCATTTTCTTAGGATTACAAATTATATATATATATATATATA